TTAGGGCGTAGAGTTCAGGGCTCAGGGTTTAGGGGCTCAGGGCTTTGGGTTTAGGATTGAGTCTGCAGCCTGTCGCTGCGGTCACTCTCCACATCCAGAAGATCTGCAAGGCTCACAGGACTCAATTTCTAGACCCTCCACCTACCTTGTATTATGGCCCAAGTACCCACCATTAAAATCATTAGGGGTCCTTTGCCCTCAATTGAGGGTGCTAGGAGGGTCTTGGTTGAAAGCCTTCGACACTCCCCAGCTTGCAAGGAGGGCCTGCTGCAACGTGCCCAAGTGCCTTGAAAGGTCTGCCGACCTTTCCTGGCAAAGGATGTCAGAAAAGATGCTAGCATTACAATTGCTACTATAATTACTAAGAATTACTCGTATTAATAGTACGACTACTATGACTACTATACCAGTACAAGTATAGGAGGACAAGAAGATCAAAACCTACCACTAAATTGGAGCCTTCCATCGCATCTCAAGCTCCTCCACCTGCCATGAGAACGAAGCTGGGACATAATTGGGGGGTTCCCAAAAGCAGGGGTACCTTTTTGGGGTCCCTATAGAAAGGATTAAAATATTTGGGGGTCCATATTGGGGTCTCACTATTTTGGGAAAGTACCGTATCAGTGAGTGAAGAACTCAAGCTCTTCTGGCTATGTGCTGTATGGATTATACAGGGATGGCGGTTAACAAGAAACTAGGCATGAATGACGTAGTCTCTCAGTGAGACTGGTGCTGGGAACTAAATCTAGCCAAGCTCTAGCTGGCAGTCCATAATTTTCTTAAAGATCATTACCAGGAACATCCTAGCTAGAGCCTGAACAACTTACTGGTTCATAATTAGTAGGGAATGAGGCAAAATGTTCCCTATATTTGGTAATATAATCTCCATGTACTATGTTCCCTGCTAAGAACCAGTAAGACAAGGAGGGGAGGGAGTAGGAGAGGCTCGGGCCTCTTTGCGGAGAGCAAGACACTCCGAGGCGCTAGCACGGGCCTCCTGCACACAAGTTGGATATTTGAGAGTTTCCTAAAATTTGTGGTGCCTTGCTGGGCTGCCCACAATAACTGCTATAGTATTTGGGGGTCTATATTGGGGTCCCCCTATTTAGGGAAACGACCATTTGCTTGCGGCTATGACTGCTCTGTGATGGACCATGCCCTGGCAGCTAAATTTGCACTCATCCGCGTTCGAGGCACAAGGCCTGCTGCGCTCGACGTTCGCTGCTGGAGTTTACAGCAGCGCATCTCCACTCCATCAATACCTCCACAGTCGTGGTGAAGCATATTTCGGTAACTAAATTTAAGCTGCATAAGAATAGCAATAATACTAGCAGGAATAGTAAGAACCGCTGTGGAAGGGCCGACGGCCATTAATAGCCATGTTCTAGGAATGAGATGTTTGGCGCACTCGGCAAGGGCCCACGGAGTTCGCGACGGCCATTGCCCGGGACCTTAGGCTCTTCACAAGGATGCTTTCGAAGAAACTTCGCAAGAGGAGCATCGCAGCTACAGGGACGCTGGCGCAACTTTGGCGGCCCGTCTCTTGGAGGAAGGGACACGGGCGACCTTACGTTAGAACACCCAAGTGCTGGCACAAGGCTGATGGCACTCTCAAGGGCGCTACAAGCACCCAGGCCGCAAACCTAGGATCTTGCAAGCTTGAAACAACATTTCTACAGCTCAGAGCTGAGTGGGAGGCGCATGCCTGCGGCGCTGTCTTTCTCTACGCGCGTGCGCAAGAGACAACATTTGCCTTGAGATTTTGTGTGCTGCGGGCTGCGTGAGTTTTCACGGTGAACTGGGGCCCGCACTCCTGGCCAATGCGAAAAGCCCTTGCTGCCAAGCACAGATCCCTCCAGGCGCTGAAGCCTGCAAGGATTGACATTGATCTTTAGAATCATACTCAGGGTTGCTGTTTAGGAACTTTACTTAAGTCGCTATAATAATAAGACCCCATACTATACTATATGCAAATATCATTGTGTAACCTAAGTAATTTAACTTCCTTACCAGCAACCCAGTAATTCATACCATCCAGGGCAGCCACATTCAGCTGCCAGGCGCAAATGCACCCTGTGCTGCAACCTGCTCACGCTTTTCTGGCGGATGGCCTCTGTGCACAGCGGCGATGTGTAAGTTTTCCAAAATCAGGAGACCCCAAGATAGACCAAAGACACCATGATTCAAAATGTGGGGACCCTCAAAAAGGTACCTCTAGTTTTGGGATGTAGCTTCCATGTTGTGAACAGCCACTCTGAGACTCTCACCTCAGCCTCAGCTTGCCTGTCTTGTTTGCTCTTTGCCGGACCTGTGAGAATGAACCATGTGAGTAGTGCTTTTTTTTGGTGGTTGAACCTAGTAAGATTATATTCCTTATATAAATACTTTACCAAATAAGATACTACTCATCTGTGAAACATTGCGCGTAATTCAGCTCGACCGCCTCTTCGAACAGCATTCGCTGCCTGGCTGCTGGACTCATTCCGATGGACTATTACTATATAACGCAATGACCAATATTACTGTATATAGTACTAGTACATACTAATGTTACTGGTGGTATTACTACATATATATACTCTGTTATACTAGCATGATGATCACTACTATTTCTGCATATCTCTGAGGACTCGGCAGTCCGCAGATGCCAAGCTGAAAAGCAAAGGGCGGCCAACTCTTCAGTAGCACCTGGACAAGAGAAAATTTAACATTTAGGGGATGTGGACAAGAGAAAATTGTCTCAGGATTATTCTAATACTATTATTCGGATTAACACTATTGCCTTCGTTTACAAGCAACTCAGTCTGGAGCGGATGGGCACCACACCGACAACACCCACTGGCAGCTTAGCTGCCAAGACCTGTTGATGAATCATGCTGCCCGACTAAATGCAAGCTTCAGTTTAGGGTTAAGTGCAAGCTTCAGATGGGCACCTGTGCCCCCGCGACTGCAGCCCTTGCATCAGCTAGCCGATGGGACCTTCCTGCAGAGGCATCAGAACAAGTTCCCAATTTCTTTTACACGATTACTATATAACATCAACATTTATTAGCAATTACTTTATTGCTATTCTTGCCGTTATGACTACTGCTGGACTATTAACTCACGAACTTGTGACATGCCTACCGTAGGGCGCCGGCTCTCTGTCACAAGCAAGAGGCGTATGGCGGAGAGCCGGCCATTCTTCTCCTCGCGTGCTCAAACACAAGGCCATGATGGAGAACTTAGGTTAAAGGGACTTAAATTAAGGTACTTACTTTTTAACATGCTATGGTATCTTGATGTAAAATCCTTTACAGCAACCCAGTAATGGTAAGGCTTATGCACAGTCCTGCCTGCCCTCAGCGGCAAAGGGCCTACAACCCTCCTGAGCTTCGGTAAATTATGCTGCTCCAAATAGCCAAACTTTGCTGAGACTACATCCACTATATACCCAAACAATGAAACCTAAAATAGATCAAGGAGGATTATATATTCAAAATGTGTTCAAGGTCTTTGCGGAGCGTAGTATCCATAGATACCTTGCCTTCTCATTAGATCACCATTGCTATTCTGCGGGTTGCTCTCTCTTTTTTTCTACCAAGCAGCGCTTCCAGAGACAAACTGGAGTTTGCTATCATGGTGCTCTTCTGCCTTGGGTCTGCATTCTTCAGCTTCTTCCTTGAGCCCCAGGGCATCTTTGGCCAGGGGCCTGGCTAGTAGATTATAATAAGTTATGATACAGTAAAGTATAGTATAGCACACTCTAGTAGATTACAAGCTAATATAGTATATTATAATACATTTGGTACAGTATATCCTATTACAATATAGTAGAATAGCCATTTACAGAAACACCTCGGAGTCCATGATGGCAAACCGCCGCCGATCAAGTCCCGAAATCTCCTGTTTAAGTTGGATACTATGGGGTTCTATGGTGCGATGTGGGGATATTTAGGGTAATATGGGGTTATATGGGGGCTATATAGGGAGATATTTAAAGGGTTTCAGGGTTAGGGTGACATGCGGTTACTTAGGGTGATATCCCTAAACCCATGAGACCCTAAGTCCTAGACCCTGCACCCTCCTGCATCTCTTCATCGCTCAGCTGGAAATCGAATACGTTGAAATTCTCCGCGAGGCGGTCGGCCGAGCTAGCTTTGGGGATTGGCGTTACCCCGCGCTGCAGATGCCATCGGAGTATGGTCTGCCTGGCTTTAATCATGACTTGGGGGCTTGCAGGAATTTTGGGGTACCATTTGAAGGGTCCCTATGTTCTAGGAATTATAATGGTTTAAGGTCTGTATTGGGGTTCTCCTATTATTTATGGAAACTACCAATTCTGTATAATGCAGTAGGTACCCAACAAATGTCTTATATGTAAACGAAGGATGCAGTGGAAGTGTGGCTTAGAGAATTTTCCATCCTACCACATTGTACATGTGCAATACATCATGTACATAGATAATCTGCAATGTGTGGTCGTTTTCTGCACGGAGCTCTAGGCGAGCTCTCGGAAACCGGGTTGCGCGGGGGTTTTGCCATGTGCTGCTCCGATGTCCCGAAGCAGTTGCAACGAGAGCAACTTGTCCGTGACCTGCCACGGCTACGTTTAAGGGTTTAGGGTCTAGGGATTCGGATTTAGGGATTAGGGTTTAGGGAACACTCCAAACCCGCCACGTGTGCGGTTCAGACGGGTTTAAAGGATTCATGGATTAGGGTTTCGGGGTATTGCTCGCAATAACGTGAGAATCACATGGAAACGGAATTTCAAAATGACATGGAAGCTGGATGGGCGTTGAACCAGTTAATACAAAACGAAGTATAGCCACGAAGAGTATATGATCGTACTCTTTATTTGGCATCCTCGTTTTACACACTGCTCAGGTGGTCTCTTCTCAAACTGTTTGCCCCCCTTCATGCATAATTACCCCATCGCGCTACAAATTGGATCTTAATTGAAAGGACAGCCTGCAAAAGTAGCCCCTAATCCCCATGAGGTAACAACTTCCGTAGCCAACTCAAGCCAAAGCAAAACAAAGTGCCAGCCGTGCCTGGTTGGGGTTGCCCTTACCTCCCAGCGGCGAATAGGCATTCACTTTGATCCCAAGTTCCTGGCACTTCTGCACCAGCTTCTCGCGGGTGTTGAAGGGATGGATCTCAAACTGGCTTGCCATAGGCCGAGTCTCAGCATACTCGAGCAGCTCCGTGAGATGACGATCGTTGTAGTTGGACACCCCGATCTGCTTGACCAAGCCGTCCTTGCAGGTGAATTACGCGGAGTTTCTTGAAGCTAACTTTGCAAATCCTACAGAACGCCAAGCCCCTTACTAATCCCCTACGCCCCATAGCTAAACCCAACTAAACCCCTAAGACCCATACCTTCATCCCCGAAGCCCTACTCACTCTCCTTCTTCATGGTCTCCAGGGCTTTCCAGGTCTCACGCCGTAGCTTTTCATTCCTTTCTGCCGACTCAAAGTCTGTGCTCACTCCCGGCCAGTGAGGGAGAACCAGGTCAATGGCCTCCATTTTTATGGGTTTAGGTTTTGGAGTTCCTAGATGTAACATCTGTATATGCGTGATATCATATATACGTAGAGATGTATGCTATGTATTGCTACTATTATTCGGTCTTAGCAGGGGCTCTGCTCTATCCCATCGATCAGGCCTGGTTTACTTTCATCAGTTTTTATGAGGGGCGAAGGAGTTCCGAAAATGGATCCTACGGGGATTTAAGTAGCAGACCTAGCAATTGTATTCAAAAACCACCTCTTCTCTCTTACCAGACTTGTTTCCTGACTCAACCCTAAAGCCACACCCTTGAAAAATCGTAATGACAATAATACCACTAGTACAAAGAATTAGAACGAAGAACCAGCATCCCTAAAAAATGCATATACTAATAACCAGTAGTAGTACTTAAAAAGCAGAACAATGATCAATAATCCCAAATTACTCTCAAGGTCAGCAGCCTCCAGACCTAGCTTGGCAGCAGAGTCCTGCACAGAGCTAATGGCGGTATCGAAGCCGTAATTCGATGGCCACACCTCTTCATTTGGGTCCACAGTGCTGTTCATTACTTCGGTTTGCATATTACAAAGTCCGTCAGCGTAGCCCATGACATAATCCCAGTTATCATCCCGAGTTGACTTCAATATGAACAAGTTCAAGACCATGCTTGATAAACCTTAGCAAAAGCAGGCTAAAAGCAGCTCACGTTCAGCGGTTAAGGGTTCAGGGTCTAGGGTAAACCCCTGAACCCTAAACCCTTTAGCTGCCTTGGTGGTCACGAAAATGTCTTCCCGCTTCAGCCCCTTCTCGAAAGCTGCCTTCAAGGCCCGCCCAATGCCAGCCTCGTTGCCTCATGGGCGATGCTCAGCTCACACAAGACATGCGCAGGCATAACTGCAAAACAACATCAGACATTACTATACAGTAGTAGTACGAAATATGACTGTGCATTACTGATCTTGCTGTATAATTAGTTCTATATCTTAGCACTCAATCTCTTGCTAGATATTAACCATATCCTCCTATATCTTGCTATTTATCTGGCGAACCTTCTTCAGCGAGTCTAACTGCAGGTTAGGGTCCGTATCTCTGCGCCGTGTCGATGACACGATAGCCCGCGTCTAAGGCGGTAGAAACTTGCCTTCGGCTTGGGGTTCAGGTTCTTTTTAAACCAGAGGGCTTAGTGTTTCGGGCTTAGGGTGAACAGCTTCCTGCCAGTTACTTTGGAATGGAGGAATAGATGCCTATAGTATCCCCCCTATGGACCCCAATAACTTAGTAGCTTCGTCTTTCTTCCCTAACAACAAAGAGGAAGACAATGGGAATTACTTAAATTATACCCTACACCCCGAAACCCTAAATCATGAGCCCTAGATCCTAAACCGCTACACCTTAAGCCCTAAATCCTAAACCCTAGATCCTAAACCCCTCAACCTTAAACCCCTAAACCCTAAACCCTAAGCCCTAAACCACCAAACCTTAAACCCTAAGCCCTCAACCCCGAAACCCTTAACCCTAAATCCCAGCCCCTAGATCCCAGATCCAAAACCCCCAAACTCCAACCCCCCCAACCCCTGAACGAGATTATGGTTTTATATGACCCCCGGCCTGGTCACATCTCCCTCGGAGACCAGACAGGTGCCAAGTCCTCCAACAAAGGTTACTACTGGTTGTTGTTGTTGTTGATGATGTTTTTGTATGATTTAGGGTTAAAAGTTTAGGGCTTGGGGTTCAGGGGTTGGGAATGATTGTGTATCATTTAAGATTTACTGCTGGATTTAGGGTTTGGGGTTTTGTATCATTTACGGTTTAGGGTTGATATTTTTTTGTATCATAGCTCTTACTATCTGTGTTGCTATTGAGATGTAGTCATCGCTACTACGAACATCCATCTGCGGGCAGTTTGGAAAGCAGCGAGCCTACCGTCAAAGGCAGGGAGCCCCCTGAGATCGCCCCGGAGGGTGGGGAGGTGACGGTCAGCGCCAGCCTTTGTTACTGTTCAGGAGCATAAAATGAGGTCGCTATAATAGAAATAAGGAAACCACAATATTCACTATGTTACCCCCTATAGTATGGTAACTTAAGCCCTAAACCCTACATCCTAAAACCCTGTATGCCCAAATCATGGAAACTTGAGCCCTAAACCATATATACCCATATTGTGGTAGCTTAAATTCCTTCCTTAACAGCTTAACAGCAGCCCAGCAGCGCGGCCCGCCGCGGTACGGCCACGGCCCAGCCCGGAGCCGCCACGACGAAGGCGACCAAAGCGGTGGCGCCAAGGCGGCTGAGGAGGCCAAGGGACCGCAGACGTGCGCGGCTCTTCAGGCCAACCATCATCACTACTATAGGGGGGGAGGGGTTCAAAATTAGGGGTACCTTCTTGGGGGTCCTTACAGTGAGGACTATAGCATTTGGGGGTCTATATTGGGGCTTATTTTGGGAAACTACTATAGATGGCGAAGAAAGTTCTAGGCTTGATCGAATGGGTTGGTAATGGTTGGTACCCTTGTTGAAAAGTGCCTGCAAGCTCTTGCAGCTGTTGCCTTCTCTCGTGCTCTCTTCGAGTTGCCATGTCTGAAGTTCGCTCCAACGCAGAGAAAACATGAGCTATAGTTTAAACTCCTAGTATCCCCCTTAATAACTCCTATAGTAGTCCCTTATATAATCCCCTACATAACCCACCTTTAAGCAGTTCAGACTATAGCTCATATGAGCAGACCGCAGGGGATCAGAAATCCATCCAGCGAAGCTGTCCTTGGCAGAAGTCAGCTGACTTCGCGAGAGCACCTTCATGAGTTGGGCATACCAAGCTTAGGCCAAGCAGCAGCAGCACCCTACAAAACGTTGATTCATCTTACTTACTACAATATATTGTAGTATATTATGGTATATTATTGTATGTTGTGGTAATAGCATCTTATAGTATGCTCTAGTATATTAATGTACTATCCATGGTGATGCAGCACATGGTGCCTCCTTCTGCGCCACGCCTTTCCAAGCCAAGAGCCTCAGCGTTTTTCAGGGCTTCTCTCAACTTCCTCCCAATCCAGCTCTACCTTTTCCCTTGGTCTGGGTTGCTCTTAAGGAACCTAAATTAAGCTCCCACATCGTGGGTAGAGCAAAAAATAGCGTTTCCTCAGCATGGCAAGCCTATTGAAGTTCCGAAACAGCAGCCCAGTCATGCCTTAGGCCTCTGCAAAATGGCTTGCTCGCAAAGGTCCTGCCAGCATCACAGCGGCCCTTAAACTTAAATCGCCAGCTGCCCAAGTAATTACCTATGTACCTCATGGAGTCCTACCCAGCCACCCTAAACCCAAACCTACAAGGTACTATAATCCTCCCTGCAGGGAACCATGCTTTTTTTTGAGCGGAAAACATCCCGAAATTCCAGTGCAGGCGGTCCTGGTACCGAAGCTGCCGATGCTTTGCAGCAGCTTTGGCTGCCTGAGCCCGCCATTTCAGGAAGGCCTTCCCTGTGTCGGAGATCGGAAGGAGCCGGTCCCAAACCTTGGCTGTTAGCTTCTGCTATTACAATTCTTCCTAGTATATATATATATATAGAGGATAGGGTTAAGGATCTAGGGAATATATATATATATATAATGTAGCTTCCATTCTCTTTTCGCCATTTTTTGTGGAAAGGACTACTGATGAAATTGAGATCATTGTCTTTATCAGCATTGCTAGAACAGAAATTGGAAACTACTATCTACTGTATGACAGTAGTTGGGCAGTTTACCTTTCAAAGGTGTTGTCTGCCAGCCTCCAGACGTCTTGCTCGCCGCTGCCTGGCACGTAATCTTTCTGGCTCTTTGTCTCAAGGGTAGCCTACTAAGCCCGGGACCCTGAGCCTATACCCTAAATAGTCGACTCCATTTTCTTTTCCATTCCCCTGTATAACCCTATATACTCCTAGGGGCCTTTTTCCATTTCCCTATATAACCCCATATACCTCTTGGGGCCCTAAGCCTTAAACCCAGTGGACCGGAGCAAAGCGGGCCCAAGGTACGCAGCTGCGATCCTGCAGAAACAAACTTTGGGGACCAAATGGAAAATCAAATGGAAACACGGGTTTAGGGTTGAGGGAGTGGTGTATAGGGATGTTATAGGGAACATGGAAAGGAAAAGGGAAGCTGCTGTAGCATATCGGGGCATACATTGGGGTTATGTAGGGATCTTATAGTGATATTACCCCAATCATGGAGAATCAAGTGAACAAGATGAACCATTCAATGGGAACTAGGATGATTCAGGATGATGTTACAAATTCCATCCTCCAACAGTGTACTCATTCAAACCCTGAACCCTGAAACCTAAAACATCAACTATGCTACAACTTCAACAACCCTGATCCCTAAGAAAGCGGACAATCAGGCCCCAGCTTTCGCAGGCCGCTGCGGCTGTCGGTTGACACCTGGCGGCTCTGGGTCATGCTCATGTGAGCTGCAATCCATATTTCCCATATGGGGCCTTCCCAAAATCAAGGGTCCATTTTTGGGGGTAGAATTTGATTATAATGTTTTGGGGTTTAGATTTGGGTCTCCCTATTTGAGGAAACTACCATATTTCCATGAAAAAAAGAAAATCAATGCATCCATGTCATGGACACTGGGATTACATGGGTGCTCCCAGGGATTTCCTTTTCCCAAATGTTTACTGGACATGGGTTCTTTTTTCGGGAATATATTGGGGACTATACGGAACTACCAGAAAGTATTGACAGCAGCCAGTAGCTCATGTGAGCCATTGTCTAAACTCCCAGTCCCCCTTAATAACTCCTATTACACTCCCCGATTCAATGATAATCCCCGAAATAGCCCCCCTGTGACGCGAACCTCGAGGGGAAGCAAGGTGCTGAAGCGGCGTGTATCCTTCCCACACACTTCACAAGCATCCTGGGGTAAGTAGGGAATAAGGGAGTAGAGTCCCTATACAATCCCTATATAGGTTAGTAGGGAATAAGGGACTGTTTCCTTCGGGATTATATAGGGATTATATTCCCCTATTCTCTACTACCCCCCAGTAAGCAAGGCATGCGTACAAGGTATTGAGACTCATGACTGGTGTCCGGCCACCTTGCCAACAGGCATGCCGTCGTCGCATGCGGAGAAGCTTGCAGATGCTTGCTTGCAGGCTGGTGGCAGATGTTAGGATTTCGGGTTTATGGTTAAGGGTTTAGGATGTCATAACATCTGCGCGTGCTTTCCTAACGACGCTCTGCAGTTTGCCACACTTCTTTGGTATGGCTCAGCTATGATCCAGCTGTCAGGGTTCATACAAGCCTTCAGCTCAATGCAAAATGGAACGAGCGGAAGAATCCATCGGCAATCAGGCTTCACTTCGCAGGCGTCTTCTCCTGCAGCCTCCTCGGCCTGGGAAATCCGATGCCTCGAAGTCTTACTTTTGAATCAATCATCGGACGCATCCTCCCTCCACACCCAGAGGGCAATCAACTGAGACCATTGCTCCAGCTGATCATCGAAGACACGCCAAGGTCGCCTTTCCAACTGACTTTGGCTACGAAAGCATAGCTGCATGAAAGCGATTCAACTGCCCTGCTTGCCTGATGGTCTTTGGCACCTCAAATGGCTGGCAAAGGATTTCTCAACAGCAAGATACTAGCTGAGCTCCCTGCCAATGGACTCTTCCAGGATGTCACTTTTTGCAATTTGTGCGGCATCTGCGGCAGAAACAGAAGTGCATGAAAACACACTTGCAATTGTTTGCATCCTAGAACAAGGCAGGCCTCCAGCCTCACAATCCCGGCACTGTGTCTTCCACGTACACACAGTAACCTTGCAGTCTTTGCCTGCCCTGAGCCCGACCACAGCTCTTGGCATGTTGCGAGGGAGGCAGCTAGAAGGACGCTTGTCAGTTGCAAGCAAATGCCTTGGAACTTCTCTTGATGCAAATCGGATGTAAGCAACCCTGAAACGGAAACCCTAAACAATACTGGCCTTCATCTTTTTTCAACGAATTCAATGGAGCTGGATTGCTCCCTCGGAATGTGGCATCTCTGGTGGATCACGACAGCGATTCTATGTCTTGATGTTGCGAAAGACACCTACTATGTCCTAGACAACTAAGCCATCCGGCCCCCACTATATCCTATACAGGGATAAGTATGGGGTGTTTGATATTATTTCATGAAGGATGTCTGGCTGTTCATGACCCGCCAGGGCTAGTTCGGCCCGTGCAGGTCTCGGGCACAGGCGAAGACGTAGACGTCTGCCGGCTTCCGACGTTTTAATTCATAAAGTGATGTTAGGCGGATCAGCCTACATGGAGCCGCCCTTGTTGCATGCAAACTCATACAGCTGGAGCCTTTAGGAAGCCTAAACCCTAAACATCACAACCCCAAACCATTCCAAACCTGAAATTGATCTGGAGTTATCTGGTTGGGCAAGCTGGCAGACGGCAGCTGCAAGATCAGGCGGGCACTGCCTGATGTCAATGAAACCAAGTCAGCCTTGCAGTTAATGCAAGCTGAATGCTGCATTTACGGAGCACCTCACCATTGTGAGCTTTGAGCGCCACTTTGTACCATGGGGCTGACAATGCCGCTAATTGCAGCACTGCAGCTGACTCTTTATGTGGGGGTTGAGGACGGGGGGACGAGAGCTATAAGAGAAACATCACACATCACACCTAGAGAGAACAGGTGGCTGCTCAGCTGTGCAAAGGGAAACGCCGTTGAAGCGTGTTTTCGCTTCATGCCTGGGGTGTTCTGTTTCAGAACTCCCCAAGAAAAATTGAGAGCCTTCTGGACCTACGCGACGGCTGGAATGGCTCTGCCTGTCAGCTGCCCCAAGCCTGAGACTAGCGATGAACCACAGATCAGATTTCAATCGCATGCGCTTCATCTTCACAGCAATCCTACAATATCCTTCGCACATAGGTGCATGCATCTCGGCCTAGATTCCATGTGAAGTGCTTAAACCAAACCCTAAACCTGATATAACCCATTATAGTAGTTTCCATTTTCATTTCATTATCCCAAACACCCCAATATAACCCCTAAACCCTAAACCCGATATAATCCATTATAATAGTTTCCATTTTCTTTTCCATTATTCCCACATAACCCCAACATAACCCCAAACCCCTAAACCCTAAACCCTAGGTGGCTGCCCTGGCCTCGATGCTCAAGGAGGGAGCAGACACCAGGTTGCCTTCCACCAACTAAATCTCACCTCGTGGTGCTGGTTTAGGGTTTATGGGTATATTGGTGTTAATTGGGGATAATGGACAAGAACATGGAAACTACTATAATGGGTTTTATAAGGTTTAGGGTTCAGGGCTGAACGCAAGACAACGATTGCGAACGAAATGACGAGTATCGGAAATGAACTGGACACTTCGCGTCTACAGGATCTAAAGCATCGCTAGAATATGCTCCCTACATAATCCCTATATACCCCCTATATATTCCCTATGATCCCATGATTAAGGCCGCCGCTTGATGCGCTTTTTCCTCCCTCGCCGTTCCTCCCGGCGGTCCTCCATGTCACTGGACTCGGCCCAGCCTTAGCTCCCATGAGCTGATGAACTTGGTATTCGAGTTTATAGGGCTTAGAGGGTTTAAAGGGTTTAGGAGGTTTAGGGCACTGGGGTTTATAGGGTTGAAGTTTTTTTTGCAACAGCCTTTTACGTCTGCATGACATAACGATCCCCTCGTCAGGCTGAACACTCCAGCAATTCCTCAGAGTTTAAGGTTTAGGGCTTAGGGTTTGAGGTTTAGGGCTTGTTAGAGTTTAGGGAATTCTCAAGGAGGGATCCCCCTACATACCCTCAGACAGGAGAAACTGAGGTCGTTAGAACTCAAGCACCAAAGAGACCCCTGCTCACCCCGTGAAACTAAACAGGAACTCTCCCGTTTGTAGCCGTGAGGGCTGCAAGTAGGCAGTGCTCATATGTGCTTATAAACTTGGATCTGAAAGCTAGCCAATTTTGAGAAAACCCTCTCACATATGATTAAGGCACATGGGTCCGTATTAGGGAATATATTGGGGTCTATACTGAACTACTTAAGGGACCCCAATGTCCACCCTTAATAATCCCTAGGCAGGCCTAATTGCCAGTATCCCGCCTGAAGCAGTGCTCGTCGCGAGCGTACTTCGTTTGGACGGGTCCCGTGAAGGCGACCGCTCCGGCTGTTCCTCCAAACAGGCTCAGATGATATGGGGGTTTCCCAAAATTAGGGGTACCTTTTTGGGGGTCCCTATAATAAGGACTATACTACATGTGGGTCTATATTGGGGTACCCTAATTTTGGGAAACTGCCATATAGCCACGCGAACACACTCCCTTTGGGCTGCCTACATGGACTACGCGGCATTCCTGAGGAAATAAGCAATTCTATCTATGCAGCACGAACTTGTTCTTGATAACCTAGCATACAGACTAGGCAGACGACGCCCGCGAGACTGCTCATACTTGCCTACGCGAAGCTACGCCACAACTATGCCCTGCAAGCAAGAGGCTACGCGAGCACTGTTGCAGTATGACTTCCATCATAGCCATAGCCCTCACATACCTAGAAAACTCGCTGCTCAACTGAGTTTGTAGCATGCAGACGCCTATTCACCCTTACAATTCTTGCTCTTCCCACGTCTCTGCCTTGCGGGGCTTGGGCGCGTCTTGCTCGGCTTCCAGCCACCTGCAGCTACGAGGACTCGTTTCTTTCGTGAAGGCCATGCTGGCTGAGGCCACAGCTCACTGTTGTGAACTTTGTACTTGTACTCCTGAGGTCAGCTTTCTTTGTGAAGCCCTCTACAGTACTTGCTGGAGGCTAGTAGGGAATAAGGGAATAGATAGATTATATATAGATACCAATATTCGCTTATCCCCTTCTAAGAACCCAATAAGTTTAGAATGACAGGCTCCCGGAAGTTCCCCAAACCCGAAACCCTGGTTTGCAGGCTCCTGGATATGCCTTGTCCATCTACTTTGCTGGCCATCCTGGGTCTCCACCTTGCAAGCATCATGCTTCAAAGCCCACAGCCCTACCAGTACATGGGGGGTTTCCCAAAGTTAGGGGTACTTTTTGGGGGTCCCTATAATAAGGATTATAGTATATCTTTTCCATATCAAAACCCCAAGCTCTTCCAGTCTATATCTTTTCCGTATTATGTTCCCTGTCCTCTTCCATTTGAGCCTCCATTATTTTGGGGAAATATCTTCATCATATAATCCCTACATGTTGTAGTCTCCATTCTATTTCCAAATTCTTTTCCAATTGATTCTCCGCTCTAAGGGCAATTTCCATCTTACAAGAAATCATAAGCCAGGGTCCCGGCAGCCACCACGATGTCCAAGAGCTCGTGTGCCGCATCCTAGATTGAAGGCGGGGCTCACAAGTTCCAACAAAACCATTACATCAGAAATCCAACTCCCTAAACCCTAAACAAGCTGTGAAACCCATGAGCCCTAAACCGATAACACCCCAGGTTAGGCAAACCCTGAAAAAACTTCTGAACCCTAAACCCTTACACCCGACAATGCCACAAAACCCAAAGAGCCCCAAACCCATTGAACCCCAGGTGAAGCCCCCAAAACCCTTTGAATCCTTAACCTATGTAGAATATTGGGGTTACATAGGGATAATGTAGGGGTAATACACACCAATAATGCAGAATCAAATGGAAAAGGAAATGGAAACTACTATTTATCCCTAAACCCTAAACCCTACACCCTGTGAACCCTGCAACGTGTGCCTGCACCGCAGGCTCAGGAGAGCGTAGGAGCTCCTCGCAGACGGCTAGTGCTCAGAATTGTTGTACTTTTGAGGATTTAGGGCCTAGGATTTTGGGTAAGTGGTAAGTGTCATTTCTCATGCCTTTGCTTTCAAAGCCACGGTTAGGCTTTATGGGGTAGAAGAAGAGCTTCTGTTCGGGGCTCACACAGGAAGTGCCCCAAGTACTTATAAATCTCATCATCAGGGCTCACAAGCAAAACCCCCAATCGTTCGACGCTCCCATGTAAGAAGTGGCCATGTGCTCTAAACCCTAAACCCCAAACCCCTAACCCTAAACCCTAAACCCCTAACGCCAAACCCCAGACCCTAAACCCCATCAAGCAAGGCTCCAGGACACGAGCAGGCGCGTCGGTTTGCAAGATCGCCTCAAGCGGGCGCATCTGGGAGCTTTCCGAAAATGGAGGGCCCATGGAGGATCCAGTGAACATGCAGGATGATAGGGCGAAGAAGGATTCTGAAGGGATCATGTTGAGAAACTCCCATTTCTGTTTCAGCATGATACCTCGCCAAAGGATACGAGACTATCAGGTGCTACTCCAGGCGGAGTCCTGCCTTGAGACTGTCATCTACGGCTTGAAGTTTCAGCCGTCATACTGACAACAACTTATTGGTGCTTCATGTGAGAGTGGGGAGTTGACTCTGATCCCCCATAAACATGCCTATATTCACTCACAAGCTCTCAGTGAAGCACCAGTAAATTCAGCACTGCCTGAGCCGAACACATCGCGGGTTGCATCCGACATGAGGAGACAGCGGAGCAGAAATGTCAGCTGTACCTGCTGAAGGCACTTGCGCATTGCTCAAAATTGATGAGCGTTTAGGCCGTCTAGCTCTTTTCTATACCGGGTTCTCCCACCTTGACCCAAAGGTGTATTCCCCATGGAATCGGATCTACTTGAGGGGGACCAAACCCTAAACCCTAAACCCTAAACAGTAGTTTCCATTTTCTTTTCCATTATCCCTATATCACCCATATTCTTTGAACAGGAATAGATCTCCTGAGAATGGGCACCATGAGGTCTCCATCCTTTGTCTTGCTTGCCATCACATCCGGCAACAGGTGGATGACCTGGCAGACCCAAGGTTCAGATTTCACCCTTCCCCAGACCAACATGGAAGCCCAAAACTAGTCTAGAAGTTTACAAGGACATAGCCTAATATGGGATAATCGCTGCCTCAAGGGCTCTTTTGGACTTTGTTGGGGGGGAGGGTGGTTGAAATTGTTTTGCTTGAGGCCCTTGGCTGCCGGGTTTGGAATCCAGTCTTTCCGATCTTCTTTAGGATGCTTTCCTGCCCCTTCCCCCCTTCACAGTCATTACATTCCTGACGATAGGTGCGCCTGGCAAGTCTTATAGGGATTCGAAATAATCGTCCATAGAAGCTCAGGGGTATGATGTCCCTGCATGATGACTACAAAGCTCCGCAAACTGCCTCCTACCCAACCCCAACAGAACTCTCCAAACAGGACCTTAAACCCTAAACCCTTAACCCCTAAACCCTGAACCCTAAACCCCTAAACCTTGAACCCTAAATCCCTAAACCCCCAAACCCATAGGCAAGCAATACGCCCCAATACGGAAGCCTTGGAGTTGGCAAGCATCACCGCTGCTGGCGGATCCAGGGCGAGGACACTGAGCAACATGACCACCTGAGAGCGGTCATTTGTTATTTTTTATAGGGGTAATGGAAAAGAACCTGGAAACTACATTATCTTACTTGGGGTTCAGGGTTAAAAGTTGTAACTTGTTTTTGTCTTTCTGTTAGCGACCCTTTTCGATTGGGGTTTAGGCCTTGAAGTAATAGACTTGCAGCAAGAATCTCAATCGGTAGGATGCGAGAAGCACACTGGTCATCGCATTACGAATGAGTAGAATGAAATACGCTTCGTCGAGAACGATGACTAACACGATGCTAGCCGAGAGAAGCAAAATATGAACACGCATGACAGATGTTTGACAGTAGCACAGAACAAGGAAATTGCTTTGACAAATAGGACACCATCGAAGAAAAATCCGTGCCTAAAGTTTACATCTTCGCGACCATGCAATTCATCTACCAGTCACCATGGTTGAAGTCTCGAAATATCTCGAAATACACGTCTGAGACACAACCCGCAACATGGATGAACGCGAATGATGGCTGATTGTTCAAATTGATGCGAAGAATGCCAAACACGACAGTACTGGTGTACGATAGCTACCAGGCGAGGCTTTGCCAGCGCTGGGACTCTCATGTTGTTCTACCATCCCAACCCCTCCCAGCGTTGCTCATGCGCACCTCCAAAACCACGTCATCTTCGGAGAAGCCCACCATCAGCAACCTGCCCAGCGCTAATGGAGGCTGGAGGCCAAGTGACGTTCTCCAAGTGAAGCATGAGGCCAGGCATCATGCCGAAATTAGGAACATTAGTGTGAAGCACTTTGTTTAACCTTCCGTGCTGGGGCACGGCGCTGGTATGTAGAAGCAGACACATGATGCGTGTTTTTACCTGTAGATATACATAGATGGCGTATGCTACAGTATACCCTTCCCGCAAATAGCATGGAACCGCATGCCAATCGAAACGGGCAGCAGGCCTTGCACACCTTGTGGGGCTCCAGGCACATCCGCAAAGTGTAAAGAAGACAACTTCAAGCTTACGTAAGTCCTAAACCCAACTGTCAACCCTGACAGAACACTGCACCCTGAACCCTAAATACGGATAGAATCCAAAATGAGAATAAGATCCCGATACACCCTAAACTATAGGGAGTTTATCGGGTTACATATAAATAGTGGAAAAGAAAATGGAAACTATCCAGAGGTAGAAGCCCTAGCTGGCCATCCTAAACCCTAAACCCTAAACCCCTAAACCCTAAACCGCTAAACAAAGAACCCAAAACCCAAAGCCCTTCGTAAGCCCTAAACCCTAAACCCAGAATCCTAAACCCAAAACCCCAAACCCTGAACCCCAAACTGCGGTCATAGCTTCTTGCATTTGGGTTTTTGGCCTTGGTAGCAGCTCCAGGAGGCCTGCTTCGCAGAGGTCGGGCCAAGGGACCTGCACACGGTGGGATCTCAGTAGATGGACTATTGGGGGTGAGGTGCTTAGGGGTTAAGGGTTTAGGGTTTAGGGGTTTAGGGTTTAGGGGTTTAGAGTTTAGGGTTATATTGGGGTTATATTGGGATAATGGAAAAGAAAATGGGAACTACTATAATATATTGGGGTTATATAGGGAATAGTGGAAAAGAAAATGGAGACTACTAGGAGTCAGAAGAATATAAGCTCCAAAGTCCTTATAATAATATTGGGGCTATATTGGGATAGCATAGTATGATGGAAAGAAAATGGAAACTACTATCATGGGATTATAAGGGTATATTTTAAGTGGACCCCCCACCCAGTAATAGTGACTATTATGGATAATAAGGATTATATTAGGGTCCTCTTATCAAGCACTGTATGTAGCAAAAAAAAGTTATGACAACATGTACCTTGTCTCTTTGGATGGCGGAACCAGTAAACGCCTGCCTTTGTGAAATTTTGTACCCAATACCAGAATACTAAAAAGGAGGATCTAGTCTTACTCTATAAACTTTATCTTATATGGCAGGTGAGCCGCGCTGCCCCAAATCCCTGCACCCCAAGTAACAAAATCCCCCCCAACAACAGTGAATGTTCCCTAGATATTGTGATATACCCTATGCCACAAGGGGACTATTTAATATTAGGATGATCCGGGGTCTTAAGTAATTCTTGGGGGAGGGGGTTCGTCTCGTCTTTATGCCCTCAGCGAAGCCTCTGGGCTGTTGCAGTCCAAGGCAGCGAGGATGCCGATGGCTTCCACCAGGACATCATGCCTCGCTGGTGTCATTAAACACGGTGGTAATTGGGAGTTTCCCAAAATTAGGTGTACCTTTTTTGGTCCCCATAATAAGGATTATAGCATTTTGGGGTCTATATTAGGGTCCCCTTTCTTGGGGAAACTACCAATTAGGGTTTGGGGTCTGGTGTCTAGGATAAGCAGCTTTTAAAACCCTCCACAAGCCCAAGCCCCAAATGTTGAAAACCAAAACAAATGTCCAGAAGCCACAATTTCAAATTTTCTAATTCCAGAAAAGCTTTGAATCCCCAAAGCCATAAACCAAAAACCGACGAACCCGAATCCCTTCTGCCCTCTTCTGTGGCGCCTGTCGCCTGCAGTGCTCTGCGCCAGGCGCAGCAACTGTGTCGGCAGCTCGCAGAACATATAGTATAATATAGTATAATATACTATCATATAATAGAATATATATTTTAAAAGACTATAATAAAATGTATTGTATTATAATAGGAATATCAACACCCCTCGTATTGTGACGCGGTTGCAGGGTTTCACGAAAAGGAAATCGGAGAGCCTCAAGAAGCCACGCATAGCCTGGGCACAGAGCAGGCATCGGAGAGGTGATGGGAATGTGCAAGTAATAAATTGCTAAGCACCGAGCTTGAACCGGGGCCGTCTGGACCTTCCAGCATCCAGCGCCAGAATGCAAGGTTCCCTTCGAAAAGCCATTGTCCCAACCTCCGCCCATGACATCCAGCAGTATTGACCGGCTGGCTCGATGGGAGGCAGTGTGGCGCAACACCTGCAAAGGAATGCCAGAAGATGGCTTCAATTCAAGACACAGGTCCGAATCAAACCCCAGGTCCCGGCAAACCTTACGCACCACAGGCCTCGACCCCAACCATAACCTCTTGGCCCCTTGAAGCCCTAAACTCTGAACCCTACACTCCAAACCCTCAACCCTAAAGCCCTAAACCCTTCACCCTAAACCCTACAGCCCTAAACCCTAAATTTAATCCCCCCCCGTTTAAAGCTGTGCCTTGAGAATGAGCTGGCTGCCCTTCAGCCCGCGCCAAGCCATCACCACGAAGGCCTCCTCGGCCAGGAGTAGGCAGGCCGCCGCCTCCCAAGGCAACATTATCTATATCTATAAATATATATATATATACATATACATACATAAATATACATATATACACATATACATATGTATACCTGTATACATATGTATACCTGTATGTATATACATATGACATTTATCTGCTCGATTGTTTCTGCTTTTCTGTGATGACATGTGTATATACAAATAATCAGAAGAGAGTGTGTGTGATTTTACAAATAGATGACAAGATAAGAAGTAGTACGGCAAACTAGAGCAGAGTAGCAACAAATATACAAACAACAACAATAATACAATGAACTATTTCTAATGTATAGAACATAAACATGCATAGCAATCGTAATAAGAAGAAGAAGAACAGCGGGATTCTGACCAAGGAGTGCTTGACCAAAGCGGAGCTTCTTACAGAGAAGCAGATCCATTTATATCGGAAGTGCCTACTACAGGGGCCTAAATAATTACCAATATCCTTTTGAGGTCTATTTCAGGTACCCTCTACTATAACAGTACAAGGAATATGGGACCATAATATTGGTAATTATTTCGGCTTCTACACTATTTCTGCGGAAAGGCTCGCAAAAGAGCCCCTGGGACTACTCACACCCAGGCATGCCTCGTCTGCTGCTAAATTCAGAAGCAAGGCGAGAGCTTCAACCTCCTTCGCAGGAGCTGTTGGGATTTATATAGGGGTTATATAGGGGCTATATGGGCCTATACATTTGTTATAAAGGGGTTAGATGGGGGTTATTTAGTGGCTGTATGGGGGTCCTTGAGGGGTCTAAAGTACAGCTTCTCTTTCATCCATGTCGTGGTTTCTGGCGTGCTGATATGTTTTTTAATGGGGGATCGCAACATTTTGAAATCATCCGGCCAGTCTCAAAGTTGCACACAACACGCTGCCTGCTCCTTGCTCTGAGCCTCGAGAAGCATGGCAGCAAGATCAGAAGCTTTGGATTGGTTACTGGGAAACAAGTTTCATGCATGAAGCTACCAACAATCTGTCCCCTTGTTGGGAGTCCCTGCAATGAGACATTTGCACTACTATCTTTATTCTAAGGACATTTCCCCCAAGAAGGAGCCTGTAAGTTATGGAAATCCCCACATGAGTCGAATAACCCCTAGAGTAACTCAGAGTAGTCCCCTATATAATCCTCCTCATCCCCCCAAAAATTCCCCCCTTTACGGAATTTAGGCTACGGCCCACACAGTACTTTTCAAGGGTCCCGGCCACTAGTTGCAAGGCCATTGAGGCAATCGTGGGATGTCTGCTGGTCAAGGTGGACCTGCTCCAAAGCTCCAAAAGCTGCAACACTGGCTTTCCTCCCCTGAAGAACAGGGGGGCTCCCAAAAATAGGGGTACCTTTGCAGGGGTTTATAGGCGATGATATTATAAAGGGGTATATAGGGATATATTATGGAGGATTAGGGAACCCTCACCCCACTACGTTGTAACAGGTACTCCACTTATCTATCAATTCAGGTGCTATCATCTTTGAAATTGTGACGATCTATTTAAGGGCGCTATTCATGTCATACATTGGGGTTCTTAACCCTAAACCCCTACTAAACCCTCAACCCTAAACTATTGCTTTTTGGGACTATTAGGGATTGCTTCCGGATCAAGCTGAGGCCTGACAGCCGGGTCCAGCGTGAGGTGGTACAGCAGTCTCAGAGCCACCTTGCATGGCTTGCTGGTTGTTTGGAGGCTTTAGGATTTAGGGTTTGGGCAGGAAGGGATCCCTATAGTAGCCCCCATGCCATCCCCAAGAATGCTGTCATTTCCATTCCTTCATAATTACCCTACAAACCACCAGTAAGGTGATTGGAATGGGTTTCGGTTGGGGTTTCCCTTGCTTGTCTCATCCGAAGGACTCCCAGGACCCCCCACTACCTGGTACCCCACTACTCATCTAGATCCAAATGAGCCACAATCTAAACTTAAGGAGAGGCTTATGTAGGGGATTATATAAGGGACTACTCTGGCCTACGTAGTATCCCCCTTGATAAGCCCTGGAGTAGTACCCTGGGGCCAGGACACTAGGAGTTTAGACTATAGCTCAGATAAAGGAGTATGCCTCAATAGTAGTGGGGTACCAGGCACTGGGGTCCAAAGAGTTCCCAGGATCTCAGAGGCTCCAGCCTTTCTGGTGCTCGGATGCTGCACGGCAGCCATCAGCCTTGCCACCACGTTGCTCCTGCAGATCTCGCATCATTGATCCCCATGGTCCCACATGAGCTATACTACTAAACTCCTAGCATCCCCCTTAATAAAGCCTATAATCGGAACCCTATATAGTCCCCTGCATAACCTCATTTCAGGAGTTTAGATCAGCACTCGTTGCTGAGTTCCGTGCTGGCTGGCAAGGGCAGCGCGGCCCCTATGGTCGAAGGAGAGATTGTAACACCTCGACATGCAAACATGCCTCAGCCCTAAACCCTACATAACCACATTATGGTACTTTCCATTTTCTTTCCATTATCCCAATGTAACCCCAATATATACCGTATAACCCCAAAATAACCCCTATATAACCCCCTACAATCCCTGAACCCTTCGCAGCAATGGGAAATTCCCCCCCCCTTCCCCAAAAAAAGGTCCCGGCGCTCTCATAGCCAGGAATGCGACCTGCGCAGGCTGCGTAGCTGCACATACATTCAGCTCTGACTCCCTATACAATCCCCTATAACAACCCCATAGAATCCCCATAGAATCCCCACATAATCCCCACAGAGTTCCCAAAGAATTCCCATAGAGTCCCCATAGAATCTGCAAGTCCCCAGCATATCATATCCTAAAGGTCCAGGAATCTTCCCATTTCCCAACCCTAAACCCTAAACCCTCAACCACAGGTCCGGAGAACCAAAGCTCCACCTCGGGCGCGGGATGGCCCAGGAGCTCGGCAAGCCGCTGCAAGACGTCGTCCTTCAGCAGCTGGTCCTCCCAAAAGAACTTTGTAGGGTTTGGGTTTAGTTGTTTTTTTTTGCAGCTCCTTTTTCCGACCCGCAAGCGTTCCGGAAAGCAATCAGTTTGCAGGAGCAACTTTGGAAAACAGAGGGGTCTCGGGTTTAGGATCTATAGGGTTTAGGGTTTGGGGTTTATGGTTTTCGGTTTAGGGTCCCAATGCAGGTTTCGCAAAATAAAGGTCCGCTTTTTTAAGGTTCATATAACAAGAGTTTCAGTATAGTGTGGTCTACATTGGAGCCCCCCACTTCTGGAAACTACCAGCTGCAGCTGCTCCTCATTGCTCATCTGATACCCTTTCCTACCTCTCTCGCGCACTCCCGGCCTTGTTCTGCTCAAAGATCGTCAGCTTGTGCAGCATGCTGAGGGAGTTCTTTAGCAAGTCCTGGCAAGGAAAGCGGGCAACTTTTGAGAGTCTAGAGGCTTGTTTGAACTATGCTACAGGAGTGTTTCCACGTTTCACCTCTCAATCTCATGTTATTTCAGGCGATCTCGTTCACCGGTGGCGGGCTACTGGACCACAGCGGCCGCAACAGCTTGCATTTGGACTTTGCTTATCAAAGAAACTGTGTCGTTTAGATCCCAAATCGCGTTAAAGGGGCTGCTCTGCAGGCACCGTTTCCCAAGAATTCTTGAGAATTCAGCATCCTCTCCCTGTTCTTGAACAAACTGTGCAACGATCAGCCCAGGATGTTTACACGCAATTGGGCGCACTGATAGCCACCATCACATTTTCAGACTGCGCTTGGAGTTCTTAAGCATGATGCAAGTCCGGTCCTCGTGCTGTCTGCCCAGCATGGGAACCAGCAGTTGGCAAAGCTTCTGCTTCACAAATTTCAGCTCCTGAGCTGTATCCTGGAGTCAGCGCCAACGCCGGATATGCACAATGCATCCAATATTTCGATGTGCTCCACAGTATTATCTGCAGTTCTCCAGCTGAACAGACACATCATGACCCATGTGGGGGGTTTCCCAACTTTAGGGGTACCTACAGTAAGGATTGAAGTATTTGGGGTTCTACTGGGTTCTCCCCATTTTGGAAAACTACCATTTATACATGCCAGCATGTATCCAGGTATATCACTGCCAAACAGCAATCCCGGCTCCGTCCTCCGACAGAGCCCGGAGCACTAAAATGCAAATTTGCAACAGGTGGTCCTGGCAGGGTTTGTAGGGTTTAGGGTTGAGGGGTTTAGGGTTTAGGGGTTTAGGGGTTTAGGGTTTAGGGTTCAGCGGTTGAGGGGTTTTCTTCCTGATGCTATTAGTGGCGTTATGGTTCATAACGTTGTTATTTGCTGGAGGTGGTTAGTAGGGAATGAATGGAAGGACATGGAAGCTACTATAATGTATATTTAATCGAGAAGAATAAGGAACATGAAATGGAAACCAGGGATTGTGTAGGGATATATCGGGGAATGCTAAACAACATGTGTTACATGATTGGGGAATATTCGGGGAATGCAGCGAGTACTGTATTCCTGAAACCACTACAACCCATCAGCGAGCGTAATCCATATAACCGCCCAAAAGGAGTCTCTAAAGGAGGGGCATTGTGGCAGATCCTGTTGATATAGCGTGTTCTTCTTGACTAGGTCTATCTTTGCAGCGTTCACTGCCTTAATAGGTACGGGTAGGCTTACCTTAGATCCTGCTCACATGCACAACGACTCCCGCCGAAGTCAGTCTCTCCAAGTCCCGCAGTGTGTGCAGACTGCGCGCGAGCACTTACGAGCAGGTACGGCCATGTGCCAAAATCAGGACTTAAATTTAGCGATCATGAGTGCTTCCATAATGCTGCCAGCGCCACAATCACCCTAAACTCTGAACCATAGCCCCAACCCTGAACCCGCAACCCCAAACTGTGCACCCTATACCCTGAACCGCGAAAACTTAATGCCAAAAACCTTAGCTCACATCATGAACCCACATGAACAACCCAGTTCTGGTGTGTAGGAAAGAAGGGCATACAGTATATTCCCTTATTCACCACCAACCCTCAACCCTAAGCCGTAATCCCGCTATATCCCATATTCCCTACTTAGCCCGTAAGACAAGTATCCTGTCGCTCTAGTCTTGCGCGACATCGCCCCAAAGCTCGAAGCAATTTGCCACGCCTTGAAGCTGATCCCGCTTCAAACGATTTAGGGTTGTTGGGTTCCCTATAGAACCCCACTGTCCAGTTCATTCTCCATGTTCCGTTCCGTATGATTCTCCGTAATCATTGAAGGTCTATTTCATTGTCCATTTGACCTGTGGCCTAAGCCCTTTGAACCTTTTGTTCCTATTTGTTGTGCTATCGCGGACGCCAGTC